TATACCAGCCAATTAGAAAGCAGAAAAGGCCCCATAGCAGCAAAATAAATGATGTATATATATATATGGTAATTATGTAGTCTGCACGTGTGATACAAACCTGACTTTATAATATGACTACTTAAGTCTCTCCATAGCCACTACACACATGACTCATACAGATATACTCGTACACACCTGGGGAATCGCATTTTTTTTTTTACATCTGACTCCTGTTAGCAGGCTGAGAGCTTTCCCTTCCCATAGCTCATGGTAAGCCGTACCCTACTAGTTTTACACAGGATGGTACAGGAGCAGACGACTGCTGACTCCTGTTAGCTGGCTGAGAGCTTTCCCTTCCCATAGCTCATGGTAAGCCTTACCCTACTAGTTTTACTCAGGAGGGTACAGGAGCAGACGACTGCTGACTCCTGTTAGCTGGCTGAGAGCTTTCCCTTCACATAGCTCATGGTAAGCCTTACCCTACTAGTTTTACACAGGAGGGTACAGGAGCAGACGACTGCTGACTCCTGTTAGCTGGCTGAGAGCTTTCCCTTCCCATAGCTCATGGTAAGCCTTACCCTACTAGTTTTACACAGGAGGGTACAGGAGCAGACGACTGCTGACTCCTGTTAGCTGGCTGAGAGCTTTCCCTACCCATAGCTTATGGTAAGCCTTACCCTACTAGTTATCCCTGGAATGCGATTCGCCAACTGATTTATAACCAATTCGACCATTACCGAGGGCTGAACGAGAGTGGGTAGTTAAGGATTGGTGCCCAGTCGATCCCCAATGCCCAAGGGTTCGAAATCACTGGCCGTGGGGGGGGGGGGGGGAGATGCAAGGCGTGCATATGTGTGTGTGTTCACATGTGAACACATGTGTTATACCTGACTCTACACCCATGCAACACACCAGTACACCTACACATGTGACTCGACTAACGTATGTGGTATACTCACCTCACACACCTGCCTATTAACATCACACATCTGTTAACACATCTGGCTATTAACATCTCCACACATCTGTTAACACATCTGCCTATTAACATCACACATCTGTTAACATATCTGCCTATTAACATCACACATCTGTTAACACATCTGCCTATTAACATCACACATCTGTTAACACATCTGCCTATTAACATCACACATCTGTTAACACATCTGCCTATTAACATCACACATCTGTTAACACATCTGGCTATTAACATCACACATCTGTTAACACATCTGCCTATTAACATCACACATCTGTTAACACATCTGGCTATTAACATCACACATCTGTTAACACATCTGGCTATTAACATCACACATCTGTTAACACATCTGGCTATTAACATCACACATCTGTTAACACATCTGCCTATTAACATCACACATCTGTTAACACATCTGCCTATTAACATCACACATCTGTTAACACATCTGGCTATTAACATCTCCATACATCTGTTAACACATCTGGCTATTAACATCACACATCTGTTAACACATCTGGCTATTAACATCACACATCTGTTAACACATCTGCCTATTAACATCACACATCTGTTAACACATCTGGCTATTAACATCTCCATACATCTGTTAACACATCTGCCTATTAACATCACACATCTGTTAACACATCTGGCTATTAACATCACACATCTGTTAACACATCTGCCTATTAACATCACACATCTGTTAACACATCTGGCTATTAACATCTCCATACATCTGTTAACACATCTGCCTATTAACATCACACATCTGTTAACACATCTGGCTATTAACATCACACATCTGTTAACACATCTGCCTATTAACATCACACATCTGTTAACACATCTGGCTATTAACATCTCCATACATCTGTTAACACATCTGCCTATTAACATCACACATCTATTAAGAGATCTGCCTATTAACATCACACATCTGTTAACACATCTGGCTATTAACATCACACATCTGTTAACACATCTGGCTATTAACATCTCCATACATCTGTTAACACATCTGCCTATTAACATCACACATCTGTTAACACATCTGCCTATTAACATCACACATCTGTTAACACATCTGGCTATTAACATCTCCATACATCTGTTAACACATCTGCCTATTAACATCACACATCTGGCTATTAACATCACACATCTGTTAACACATCTGCCTATTAACACCACACATCTGTTAGCACATCTGCCTATTAACATCACACATCTGTTACACATCTGGCTATTAACATCACACATCTGTTAACACATCTGCCTATTAACATCACACATCTGTTAACACATCTGGCTATTAACATCTCCACAGACATCTATTAACACACCTGCCTCTCACACCTGCCTATTAACTAGTCAGGTCTCTGGGAAAACCTGTAAAACTAATTTATAAAATAAAAATTAAACTATTTTATATAAAATGAAGAAAAAAAATGGAAATAAAATGCAACTCTTTTTGCGTAACCAGAAACGTACTCACCCAAGAACCCTAACCTAACCTACCGAGGCCCATGCATAGAAAACGTCAATATTACGGTGCTTTTGATCTCTAGTCACCCTATTGCGTTACAATTGGGTCCTAAAAAGCTGAGGATAGAGGTGGCTTTTACAACTTCCTCTTTTAGAGCAGTTCATTTCTTGTGTCCACCTGATCTAATTCCCCTCCTTAGTATCTTATACGTTGTGATCATTCCCCTTATGCTCCTTCTGTCATCTAGGGTTGTGAGATCTAGGTCCTGTCTTCGTAGCTTAACCCTCTTAGGTCTGGTACCAGTCGAATTGCAAATTATTGTGTAATTATTTTAATTCTGGGTTTTATGTTTCACACGGTGGGGACTCCATGCCAGTGCTGCGTATTCCAGTATTTGGTTGAACGAATGATGTGTAAATTGCTTTGGAATGTTGATTCAGGTTCCTAAACGATATGTGGTTATATATGCCAGCGTCTCATATGCCGCTGATGGTGTTAGGTTTATGTGTGTCACTGATGTGAGTGTGGGAAGTAAGTCCACTTCCTGATCCTGGTTTAGAGGCCTTTTGGTCTCCTCTCCGTGTGTGTGTGTGTGTGTGTGTGTGTGTGTGTGTGTGTGTGTGTGTGTGTGTGTGTGTGTGTGTGTGTGTGTGTGTGTGTGTGTGTGTGTGTGTGTGTGTGTGTGTGTGTGTGTGTGTGTGTGTGTGTGTGTGTGTGTGTGTGTGTGTGTGTGTGTGTGTGTGTGTGTGTGTGTGTGTGTGTGTGTGTGAGAGTGTATGTATGTATGTGTGTGTGTGTGTGTGTGTGTGTGTGTGTGAAAGTGTATGTATGTGTGTGTGTGTGTGTGTGTGTGTGTGTACTCGCCTAGTTCTCACCTAGTTGTGCTTGCGGGGGTTGAGCTCTGGCTCTTTGGTCCCGCCTCTCAACCTCTCAACCGTGTGTATATATGTATGCACGTGCGTGAGTGCGTGTGCATGTATGCGCATACCCTTCAGCGCCTGCCCTAGTACCCACCACGCCCACTACCCATTATTTCCCCCGGTGAAGAACGCTGGGAAGGGCGCCCTTGTGTCATAAGGGGCGCCACCCGCCGCCCGCCGTCTAAGAGCCGTATCATAGCGTAATGAGAGCAGTTCCCATGCCTCTCCAGCGGCCGACCCCTTCAACGTCCCCTCAACTGGGTTTGTTCCTCGTTATAATGGTCAAACATGCGGATACGGTCGAGTGAGGGGGGGGGGGCATGGGGTTGAATGGGGGGGAGGGGAGGGAGGGAATTATCAGGGAGAAATGCAGCAAGCCATTACGACTATATAGCACTGGGAAGGGGTCAGGATTTGGGATGGGACAGGGGAAGGGAATGGTGCCCCATTCGGGCATTGACGGTCGGGGATTGAACGCCGACCTGCATGAAGCGAGACTGTCGCTCTACCGTTCAGTATCAAGCCATTACGACTATATAGCACTGGGAAGGGGTCAGGATTTGGGATGGGACAGGGGAAGGGAATGGTGCCCCATTCGGGCATTGACGGTCGGGGATTGAACGCCGACCTGCATGAAGCGAGACTGTCGCTCTACCGTTCAGTATCAAGCCATTACGACTATATAGCACTGGGAAGGGGTCAGGATTTGGGATGGGACGGGGGAAAGGAATGGTGACCCAACCACTTGTATGGACGGTCGGGGATTGAACGCCGACCTGCATGAAGCGAGACCGTCGTTCTACCGTTCAGCAGCAAGCCATTACGACTATATAAGCACTGTGGAAAGAGGCCAGGATAAGGACTTGAGATGGAACAGTTTATCTTCAAGTTATCTTGAAATGCTTTCGGGGCTTAGCGTCCCCGCGGCCCGGTCACCGCCCCAGGCCATATACCTCACACATACTCACTCTTCACAACCCCACAACACTTACCCAACGCGTTAATTGAACCCATTTAGAACGCTTAACATTTATTCAAGATTATGATAAATTTCTCTGTCCAAATAGGTGTCGCTCCACGAGCCAAACAGGCGGCCCCAGAAGGTGTGAAAGGATAGGAACAGGTCGATAGGGTGAGTAGGAAGGGGCCCCCAGAAGCTGTGAAAGGATAGGTACAGGTCGATAGGGTGAGTAGGAAGGGGCCCCCAGAAGTTGTGAAAGGATAGGTACAGGTCGATAGGGTGAGTAGGAAGGGGCCCCCAGAAGCTGTAAAAGAATAGGTACAGGTCGATAGGGTGAGTAGGAAGGGGCCCCCAGAAGTTGTGAAAGGATAGGTACAGGTCGATAGGGTGAGTAGGAAGGGGCCCCCAGAGCTCCTGTGGGGGGCCCCCAACACAGGATAGATGGTAATCGAGGAAGGATTGGTAGAGAGAGGCATAGGGAAAGAGGATTGGTTTGATTGGTAAATGACTGATTGGGTACAGGAGCAGGTGGAAATGTTTGTTGATTGTGGTTGACAATGAAGAGTTAGTAATTGTGATGGGTGGTGATTGGTAGTGGTAGGAGGGGAATAGGTAATTGTGGTTGGTAATTGGCTGTAAGTGATGGTGGTGATTGTAACGATGATTGTGACGATTGTTGGGGTGGTGAAGGTGGTAGTTGTGGTAGTTAGTGACTGTGGTAGTGACGATGGGGATAGTGGTCGTGGTGAAGGTAGTAGTGGTAGCACAGTCGAACTAGACACAGTCGAACTAGACACAGTCGAACTGAAGACAGTCGAACTAGACACAGTCGAACTGAAGACAGTCGAACTAGACACAGTCGAACTGAAGGCAGTCGAACTAGACACAGTCGAACTGAAGACAGTCGAACTAGACACAGTCGAACTGAAGACAGTCGAACTAGACACAGTCGAACTAGACACAGTCGAACTGAAGACAGTCGAACTAGACACAGTCGAACTGAAGACAGTCGAACTGGACACAGTCGAACTGGACACAGTCGAACTGAAGACAGTCGAACTAGACACAGTCGAACTGAAGACAGTCGAACTGGACACAGTCGAACTGAAGACAGTCGAACTGGACACAGTCGAACTGAAGACAGTCGAACTAGACACAGTCGAACTAGACACAGTCGAACTGGACACAGTCGAACTGAAGACAGTCGAACTAGACACAGTCGAACTAGACACAGTCGAACTGAAGACAGTCGAACTAGACACAGTCGAACTAGACACAGTCGAACTAGACACAGTCGAACTGAAGACAGTCGAACTAGACACAGTCGAACTGAAGACAGTCGAACTGGACACAGTCGAACTGAAGACAGTCGAACTGGACACAGTCGAACTGAAGACAGTCGAACTAGACACAGTCGAACTAGACACAGTCGAACTGAAGACAGTCGAACTAGACACAGTCGAACTAGACACAGTCGAACTAGACACAGTCGAACTGAAGACAGTCGAACTAGACACAGTCGAACTGAAGACAGTCGAACTAGACACAGTCGAACTAGACACAGTCGAACTGAAGACAGTCGAACTAGACACAGTCGAACTAGACACAGTCGAACTAGACACAGTCGAACTGAAGACAGTCGAACTAGACACAGTCGAACTAGACACAGTCGAACTGAAGACAGTCGAACTAGACACAGTCGAACTAGACACAGTCGAACTAGACACAGTCGAACTGAAGACAGTCGAACTAGACACAGTCGAACTAGACACAGTCGAACTAGACACAGTCGAACTAGACACAGTCGAACTAGACACAGTCGAACTAGACACAGTCGAACTAGACACAGTCGAACTAGACACAGTCGAACTGAAGACAGTCGAACTAGACACAGTCGAACTGAAGACAGTCGAACTAGACACAGTCGAACTGGACACAGTCGAACTGAAGACAGTCGAACTAGACACAGTCGAACTAGACACAGTCGAACTAGACACAGTCGAACTAGACACAGTCGAACTGAAGACAGTCGAACTAGACACAGTCGAACTAGACACAGTCGAACTGAAGACAGTCGAACTAGACACAGTCGAACTGAAGACAGTCGAACTAGACACAGTCGAACTGGACACAGTCGAACTGGACACAGTCGAACTGGACACAGTCGAACTGAAGACAGTCGAACTAGACACAGTCGAACTAGACACAGTCGAACTGAAGACAGTCGAACTAGACACAGTCGAACTGAAGACAGTCGAACTAGACACAGTCGAACTAGACACAGTCGAACTAGACACAGTCGAACTAGACTCTGTCTCTCTCTCTCTCTCTCTCTCTCTAGAGAGAGAGAGAGAGAGAGAGACAGAGACAGAGACAGAGAGAGACAGAGAGAGACAGAGACAGAGAGACAGAGCGAGAGAGAGAGAGAGAACGAGCCCGCGAAGTAGAAGAGCTTCCCGAAGACGAGTTCGTAGAAACAAAGGCTTCAATCTCCCTCCAGAGGCTATGCAAGGCGATTAGCAATTGCGCTTCGCCTGTGCAACAACAAATACCTTTGAGTTGAGTAATGGTGACGCGTTGATTGGCATTAATCCCAATTGGCCGAGTAATCATTACGTGTATAATTACTTCTGGGCGTGTCTAATTGCACAATTACTATGATAAACAGGTTAATTACAGCTTAACAATGACGAAAGATGGCCCGAGGTACGTAGGATTAGCTAATCAATCTCCAGTAATGTTATGGGCTCCAAGGAGACCAGGAGCTATAATTGTTGGCTGGTGTTGAATTGCCTCGTTTGGATAGTTTGGTGAAAGTCTTAACATTGAAGTCTTCATTGAGACTTATTGGTTAAAGCCTATTTTTTTAGGTTCCTCTCTCTCTCTCCCCCTCCCGAAGAAAATAAATTCTTGGTGGTCCGAGTTCAATCCCCGATGGTTCAAGTAGTTAGGCACTGTTCCTTCACTTCATTCTTATATCCCAGAGCTTATCCTGTCCCAATATCCCTCCTAAAGGCTTTGAGCCATGCTAACTTCTGATTTCTAACTGTCCTAACTGATTTCTAACTTCTAACTTCTTATCTAATCTTTTCTTCTTAACTTAAAGTTTCCTTTCCTTCAAGTTATTTGATGAATATTGAATTGATGACAATGATATTTGATGATAAGAATTGAAGCAATCTTTAACTTCTCTTCAATTCGTTTTTTGATGGCTGTACTAGGCTTCCCTTCAATTGTTCAGTTTTTCAATTGACCATTCAAGTTCAAGTAGGTTTATTGACACAAGAAAAAATACATCTCAAAGGGATAGAGTAGTTTAGGCAATTTATACCCCCTCTTTACCTTGAGGTGCTTCCGGGGCTTAGGGTCCCCTCGGCCCGGTCGTCGACCAGGCCTCCCTCAATTGATAATTTTTTCTCTTTGTCGTAAAAAAATATTCCTAACTCTAGGGATTAATTTTAAAATCCTTCTAAATAGATAAGAAGAACCTAACTAGGGTCTAACTAGGGTCTAACTAGGGTCTAACTAGGGTCTAACTAGGGTCTAAATAGGGTCTAACAAGAGAAAACAAATGAATAACATTATATATTGATTTACAAGTAGATTCAAGAAGGTTATCTTGAGGTTATCTTGAGATGATTTCGGGGCTTTAGTGTCCCCGCGGCCCAGTCCTCGACCAGGCCTTCACCCCCAGGAAGCAGCCCGTGACAGCTGACTAACTCCCAGGTACCTATTTACTGCTAGGTAACAGGGGCATTCAGGGTGAAAGAAACTTTGCCCATTTGTTTCTGCCTCGTGCGGGAATCGAACCCGCGCCACAGAATTACGAGTCCTGCGCGCTATCCACCAGGCTACGAGGCCCCGAAGAAGATACATTGGGGTTTATAAATGGAATGGAATTATTAGGGGAAAGCACCAAGCCAATACAATATTCCACTTGGAAGGGGTCAGGATAAGGATTTGGGATGGGACGGGGAGAAAGGAATGGTGCCCAGCCACTTGTGGACGGTCGGGGGATTGAACACCGACCTGCATGAAGCGAGACCGTCGCTCTACCGTCCACCACAAGGGTAGCAACCATTGAGGTTTTTACATGGTTGTAAAGCTACTATCAATCATAGTGTTTCAGGTCCTTAATCTAACAGATAATATTAAGTATATAATTTGTACCAAAATTGAAGAAAGTTAACAGTACATTGTAAGAAATTTTGAAGAAATTTAGTAGGTACATTATGTTAAAATTTGAGAATTATTAATAGGTACATTGTAAGAACATTCTTCATTGTACATTGTAACATTCTTCAATTTTTGGTACAATTTTCCTCTTTGTTACACATCCCCCAGGAAGCAGCAGCCCGTAGCAGCTGTCTAACTCCCAGGTACCTATTTACTGCTAGGTGAACAGGAGCATGAGGGTGAAAGACACTCTGCCCATTTGTTTCCGCCTGGGGGATCGAACCCGGAACCTCAGGACTACGTACCCCAAGCGTGTAAAGCCGCTGTTTTTCATAGTACACCGTAATGCGAAGGTATGCGTTATATAGCGACCATTACGTACACAATGAGACGTATGAGTGGGGGGAGGCGCCCCCTTCCCCCCCCAGGGGGGGTAGGGAAACCTCAGTAAGCCAATTAGTCTATTAGTGTATACCTTGAGAAGCTGAGTATACCTTCCAGTGAGTATACCCAGGAAGGTATATATAGGAAAGGACAGGATAGGAGCTGGGATAGAAGGACGAAGTAAAAGAACGGTGCCCAACCACTTGGACCATCGGGGGATCGAACGAGGACCTGCAAGAAGCGAGGTGATGCTGTACCTCCCACTACAAGCGGGTCGGACAATCAAGTCAGGTTTGACTTTTCAATCAAGAATAATTCTTCCAATTTAAATATTTCCAAAAATACTTAGTTTTCAATTGAATAAAATAATTATATATTAATAAACGAGGTGAACTTTAATGATAGGTATTTTGTCAAGGAGTTAATCATTATATTATATCCGTTATATAATATATAATGGGCCGTTATATCCTATCCTCGTCTGGAACTATATATATATATATATATATATATATATATATATATATATATATATATATATATATATATATATATATATATATATATATATATATATATATATATAAGGATTAATTCATTAAAACAGCCGCCCCGCGACGCCTTTTATTAATTCTTTGTTTTTGTTTTGACCGTGACTCCTCTCATACTTCAGTATTGCCAGTCAGAGGGTCGGGAATTTCTCGCGGGGGGGATATCATCTTTTGATTCAAAATATTACCATTTGCTAAGTAGGATATGGTGATATCTAACGTATGCACGAATTAACGAGCAATTTGATATTTTTTTAGTTACAAATAAGAGCGTTATTGGGAGTTTGAGAGAATAAATTGGCCAAATTCTTGTCTACGGCTTGGTAACGCTGATGTTCTTGAAAGCCAAAGGGGAAGATGCTAACAAAGCAGCGACAGATCTGTCAATCAAGCCAATTGAAGACTTGAAGTGATTTATGCGCGTGATTGGTGATATTGATGTGGTTAGCCAGTTGTCATTGGGAGAGTCTGTAAGCAAATGAGGGGCGCGACAAAAGCGCGCCAAAGGAACAGAAAACGGGAACACTTGACAAAACAATACCGCCATGCGCCCCTAATGGTCTCACTTTCTCAACTCGGGCCGAAGATACGGCTGATTTATTGATTCTCAAGCCGATGGATTGAAAAGGTACATAATGCTGATTGAAGGGAATCAATTCGACCATGCTATGGCGCTCTCATATACAAGTCACTCCAAGGAAATCATTAAAATCAAAATATTTAGCGTCGCCCGATGCCATATTGGTTTAGGTGGCGCTGGGCTCCTGAATTCTATTCTGTTTGACAAAGAGAAAGTTATACAATAGTCACTTGAGCGACAGATGACACGTTGGTTCTTCTTCACTAAGATGGCGTCTCTCTCTCTCTCTCTCTCTCTCTCTCTCTCTCTCTCTCTCTCCTCTCTCTCTCTCTCTCTCTCTCTCTCTCTCTCTCTCCTCTCTCTCTCTCTCCTCTCTCTCTCTCT